CCGTGGCCCAGTGGATAACCGTGTGCTTCTCATTGTCCAGCGCCGAGATATCCGCTCCCTTCGAAATCAGGTACTTGACGACGGCCTTGTTACCTGCTATAGTGGCCAGGTGGAGGGGCGTGTACCCGTCCTCGTCCCGTGCCTGCAGGAGAGCTGGGTCCGCCTCCACTACCTGTAGGAAGATGACAGTGCGTGTAAGTTTTCTATTCGTTAAGATTAGATAACTATTTAACTGTGAATTATACTCTAAAAAAAACTATTTTAGTATTTTTTGCTCGCCATTTGATGCAATTGTGACATTTCGTGATTAGACATGTTATGAATATGCTAAGAACCGGAAAAGACGACAGAAAAGGAGATCAAGAAAACGGGCAATGACGAATTGTTTTCCTGCGTCTACACTACTGACCCAAAGACAATCTATTCTAGTTCTTATCTGTCGCTCATAAATACAAGCGCAGTAAAAATGAGATCTCGAGTCTATCCATCAGTGCTCCATAAATCATATCTATATCATCTACGTACATATACATCGATCTATTTATCCATTCGTATATATCTATTTATCTGTCTATTGATATCTCAGTCTATTAATCTATTTATTTGTCTACCTACCTATCTGTCTATCTATCTACGTACTTATCTATTAATCTATCTATCCATATCTATTTATCTATCTATTAATCTATATCTATCTATCTTTCTGTGCATGTATGTCTGTACGCATGTATGCATGTATTTATGTATGTATGTATGCATGCATGTATCTATCTACCTATAGTGATAATCTCTCTATCTGCTTACTAACCAATTAATCTTCGATCGATCGATCTATCCATCTCTTTGGGTATATTTTCGACGGTTCAAGTATATGACTATGTTTGTGTGTTTGTGTTTGTGTGTGTGTGTGTGTGTGTGTGTGTGTGTGTGTGTGTGTGTGTGTGTGGTGTGTGTGTGTGTGTGTGAGTGTGTGTGTGGTGTGTGTAAGTGTGTGTAAGTGTGTGTGTGTGTGTGTGTGTGTGTGTGTGTGTGTGTGTGTGTGTGTGTGTGTGTGTGTGTGTGTGTGTGTGGTGTGTGTGTGTGTGTGTGTGTGTGTGTGTGTGTGTGTGTGTGTGTGTGTGTGTGTGTGTGTGTGTGTGTGTGTGTGTGTGTGTGTTGTGTGTGTGTGTGTGTGTGTGTGTGTGTGTGTGTGTAAGTGTGTGTGTGTGTGTGGTGTGTGTGTGTGTGTGTGTGTGTGTGTGTGTGTGTGTGTGTGTGTGTGTGTGTGTGTGTGTGTGTGTGTGTGTGTGTGTGTGAATGTATGAGTGTGTGTGTTTGAGTGTATGAGTGTGTGTGCGTGAGTGTGCGTGTGTGCGTGTGTGTGCGTGTGTGTGTGGGTGTGTTTGTTGTGTGTTGTGTGTGTGTGTGTGTGTGTGTGTGTTGTGTATGTTTTATGGCTGTATATATAATGTGTACGTGTGTATGTATGCATGTATCAGTATGTATATATCCATAAATGTGTCTGTACGTATGTCCATAAGATATATTAATATAAGCAATGCAAATTGAGGTCTGTAATTAAGATCGTGAGTATCAAGGTAATTAACTGAAATGAGAGGCAGTTAACAAAATACACGCGAATACAAATAACGTACAAACATTGTGGGCAACATTTCTGTGCGGGCAAATAAGTAATTTAATTAAAAAGGCATTTAATTATGCAACTACGGAATCTAAGTGCGGTGTACAAATGATAATTACAACATCCAGTTCTTGATCTGCGTATTCTGATATAAAATAATATATATATATATATATATATATATATATATATATATATATATATATATATATATATACTGTGTGTTCGTGCATGAATATTATATATAGAGATATTCATATATATACTTATTTAACGCGGTTTTAGACAGCCCCTGAAAATATTTATATCACAAGATACGATCCTCAGATAATAAGCTAATTGTTACGATGCTGCAAGGAGATTAATAGTTTTGTCAGCGATAATAACTGCTTACCAAGGCGTGAATTATGGACGAGCAGGGAGGCGGGGGCAGGAGGAGGGGAGGGGGGTGACGGGGGTTGCGAGGGAAAGGTTAACTGCGAAATGTGATGGAAAGATTAGTCGGGAAGGAAGAGAGAGAGGCGGAGGCAGGTATGGACTTGGTTGTGTTAGAAATGTTGGATTTCTCTTTAGAAAAAGAAACGAGCATTCGTGTTGCTTTCTTAGAACCTGGATATTGCCCCAAAAAAGAAAAAAAGAAAGTATATCGAACAATTATAGGCTGTTCATATTGCTGCTCCAGGCTGCTCTAATTATCGAGTTATTTAGGCCACCGTAGCTCAGCGAGGCGAGGCAGTCGGGCTGACGCAATATTTGAAGATTTATACTATTTAGGTTTTCAAAGTTCCAGTGTCTTAGAAAGGGTTTCTTGAGTTGGCTTTTGTTATTATTTTTCTGCTTTTCACTATTTTTGTTGTGAGTGTTTTGATTTAGGCAGTT